ACAAGGAAATGCACTGGACTATTTAATACTTTATTAAACAATTGAGGAAGAATACAAATTAAGAAACAACTGGAAAAATGTAATAATCTTGTCAGAGAATTTAAAAATAAAAAAATTGCCAACATGTTAAATAGAAATAGCCAGTTTGGGATATTAAAGATTGCAGGTGCCTCTATCCAAGAGTATCATAGCAAGTTCATACATAGAGGTACGATATGACAGGTGCAGACAGTTTGAAAATTTATACATTGTTACCCCACCTCCAAATGATTTTAGCAATATCTGATAACCTAAAAACATTCATAGTAGATTATGATTATAAACAAATTTCTGACTTTAAGCAATTTTGTTCAACAACAGTTGTGCTTATATAAGATTTGACACCTGGGTGATAGAAATTTGGGGGATTCATTTGAAATTGCAGCAGCGAAAATAGAAAATAAGGAATTTGTATTGTCATTAACATTTGCTTTCAGCCAATGCAGTTGACATTTAACAACAATAACAACAGCAGATTTTGCTGTCATTAAACAGATTACTGTTTTAATCTTGAGAGAGGCATGGAAGTTAAAATGGAACCTTTGTTACCTGAATGATTTCATAAGAAAATTAATGAGTTGAAACTGGTCTTGAATTCAAATCTTAATACTTAGATATTATGTAAAGAAAGTATTTTTAAAAATTTCTAAATAGAAAATAGAGATTCAATTGACTGGAGTGGAGGTAGTGTAAATATTGTACTATCATTTCTGGATGAATTTAAATTTAGCAAACTGACAAAATCTGTGTTTTCTTTCATTATGAATTTTCTTCAATGAAAACCTTAAAAATGAGATGGAAAATTCATCTTGAGAAGCTTCTCATACTTTCTGAGTTTTGCCACATTAGTCAATAGTATAAGTGACATTTAAACCGTTACCTGGATTTAAATTAGGATCTAATTTTAAAAAAGAGTAAATTATTCTAAATATAGAAACTATTAAATTGCAAGATCAAAGAATAGACAAACTATTCTGAATATAGGAAAAGGAAGATTTGAAGTACATGGCAAAATGTTAGCTACTCGTGTTTTTTTTTAAAGGAAGTGGGTTAAATACTTATAAGAAGAAATGTGATGATGAAAATGGCTCTGGGTGGGGATGATTGTTTCTAAATGTAAGCAAAATTACATTCAATTTTCGTAATTGATATACTGAACATAAAAAAAGTAAATACATCAAAGCAGCTTCTGATCTGGTTTCCTTACACAACTTTGTGTGTTGTATTGAGTCTATATAGTACATATGTCTGTCTCATTTCTAGCCAATAAATCCCTTAGGAATCTTTTTTTTTTATACTGATCTTTTATTTGAAAATTGATTTTCTCTCTAATATCACTCACTCATAGCATCTGAAAAAAGATATATATTTACAGAGATTTTGACCTCAGTGTTCATGAAATAAATTATAATCAAAATAGATAATTGAAGTTTCCATCTTCTTATCATTATATTTATTTCAGATAGAGTATATCTGTAAAAGAACAATATGAATCAGGACAAAAAGAAAACTTATCTTAGCTGATGCATTTTGTCCTCTGAGAGACAAATATCAAGGCAAATGGACAAAACACATTGGCTAAGATAAGTTTTCCTTTTGTCTTAAAACTAATTAAGCTAATAAAACTATTGCAATTGAAACTTTTCTGTAAACAATTGAACACAATATTGATTTTCTTGTTCCTTAACAATAGTCACTGTGCAGAGAGACAACCACTATTTGTCTCTTACTCTTACAGTCATCCAAAGTGATGCTAACAAATGAACTTCTTTTAATAATATTGAAATATTCATATCTATATGGTATTTTATTCATTCATGTTTGGTTCCACTGTCATAAGGAACATTTCATCTTTTCAAACTGTAACTGATTAAACAACTGTGGAGAAATTTAGTTAATTTCGGGAGATTCTAAGTATAATAATAGTAATATGCTGCATCCTAAGAGCATGGTCTCACCATGATTTTATTTAAGTTGAAATCAATAGATGCGTGCTTGTAAAATCAGCAGTGACCAAAGAAATGTTTTATTACTAAGTAAACAACAGATTTATTAAAGCACAGAATCAGTGTCATCAAGAACCACAATGTGGTGTGGATCAAAGTTGTTAATGTCTCTGATTTTCTTATTTATAAAGGAATATAATTATTATCTAAAATTGTAACCAACTTTAGAGAAAATAATTTATGAAAATTGTAGAAAATGCATGAAGAGGGAGTAGAATGTGGGGTGAAGGCCTTGAAGGAACTGCAATTTGTTTTTTTGGGTTTGTGTCAAAAAAAGGAAAAAAACAAAAGAAAATCACAGCAATAATGACGAAAATTTATAGTGGACAAAAAGATGAGGAAATAAAAATGCCATGTAGAATTGTAAATTATTAAAAAGTGTAAAAAATGTATTGAAGACGTTGTTAATCACTTATAGAGAGAGGGATCCATCAATTCAATAATCCGGTTTACTGGTGAAAGAATCGGTAGCAATTTAAAAGTACAGGAAGGAGGTTTCCCCAGAGAGCCTAAATTGCTTTTTTCTTCTTTTTTTTTTAGCCAATCAAATTTAAATAAATAAAAAAAAATATTTCAGGGTTACATTGAAACAAATAGCAATTTATCTTTAACCATGTGTAATGTGCAAACGTTGCACACGATTTGTATTACTATTAAATCTAAAACATGAAGATGACAAATGGTTCATCCAATTCCAATATATAGCACAATTTGAATTTTTAGAGTATGAAGCTGGTGGTTGTTGAATGTTGACGAGCCAGGCCATTTTAATACACCAGACAGATTTTTTATTTTTTGCGAATGATCCAAGAGATTTTTGTATATCTCTGAATCCAATGGAAATTTTAATTTAGGTAAAAACTGCATAAAACATTTCTGATTATAGATACCATGTTACACCCCCTCCTAGGGTAGGAAGACAACGACCCATTCCACTTTCATTCATTATGACTATGAGCCACATAGAAATAAGATTGCAAATTAAGCATTTTTATTTCAATACAATTAATTTTTGTAGCAAGTAAATATACAAAATTATTTTACATATAGAAAAACTGTTTAAAATAGAAAATTCTAATAAGATATAATAAAAAAAAAACAAAAAAAAAATGCGCTCTTTATTACCGAATTATGTAATTAGTAGAGATTGTGTTGAGGTGGTGGGGGCGAGATCTCCGGTGTCAGGATCAGCCCTTAATACAATTGATAAAAATTGCAATAACCATAATCACCTCTACCACAGCTAAAAACAATTTTTTAGGCGGGTGAGTTAAAAAAAAAAAAAAAAAAAAAAAAAAAAAAAGAAAGAGTTGTCGAGAATGCTCGATGTTGGCTACACTTGTTGATCGAGAGAAGAAAGTGAAGTAATTTTGTTGTTGTTAGTAGTAGACATGTTTAAAGTGGCAGAAAGAAAAGCAGTTCTTCTGAAGAGAAGATTAATGTTAATTATTAACATCTTAATACAGAAATATATGGATCTATCCGAAGGCCCTCCTCTCAAAAATAATAATTACTGATTAAAAACAAAATTCCATTGCTGAAGGATTAACAATTAACATTAACAGTTTTTTTTTTAGGAAGGACAATAGAACTAAGTATAAAGATTTTGCTCAAGGAAATGGAGAGGGGAGTTTCTGAAATAATTGTTATAATCTGGTCAATAATAAGGGATTTGGAAAAAAGAGTTTGGATGGACGTGTGTTTGTGTTGTTTGGTCGTCCGCCATTCTTGGATGACAGAAAACGTCAAAAAGATGAGGAAGAGGCCGCCGCCGCCCGCTTGGACTGGTGAGATCATTATTCTCGCTCATTTACATGCAGTCTGGGCAAGAGAGAAAGGATCAGCAGGAAAAATCGACGCAATAAAATAGAAATAAGGGACAAACAAATATGTTCATGAAGAAAAAGTTGATGGAGGCAGGTAGTGTATTTTTCTGCAAGAGGAAGAAACGGCAGCTGTAAAAATGGACCTCCTAGTCGTTCGGAAGGAAGAAAAGACTGGCTTTTATTGCAAAGCCTAGAACCTTGTGGACGGCCACAAGAGGAAATTATGCACAGAAAGGGGGAAGTATGAAAAAAAAAAAAAAAACAAGAAGTATGGAAAAAAAAAAAAAAAAATGGAAAAACAAACTAAAAAGAAAAAATAACATTTGTAATAATGGTGGTGGAAGTGTCTTATTTATCATTATCATTATTGTTATTGTAGAGAGCGAGAAAAAGGCTGGGGGTAAGGGTGGTTCGTGCAGGAAGTAAACATCAGGCATTTGGGGAGGGGTAAGAAGGTACTTTCGGTCACATCGAATTTAGAAAACATTAAATCAGAGGGGTGGTTAAAATAAACAAATTCGGAAAGGAAATAAATTAAACAGAAGAAACGAAGACAAAAAGAGGGGGGGGGGCGTAATAATGACATAAGAGAAGTTGATATAAACGGAACACACGACGTCAGAACTGTTTTCTCTTTCATCTCAAGACGAACAGGATTTATTTATTTATTTATTCAACTCCACAAAAAAGAAGACGAAAACAATTTTGAGCAAAGAGAGACTCGGGTAGGTTCAACAAACAACTTTTTTTTTCTTTTCTTTTTTTGGACATGACCAGGAAATCATTTGGCCCATGGAAACGAGCCATATGAAAAGGAGGGGAGGAGGAAAGAAGTCGACCTCTAAAGACAGAAAAAACAAACGTCCACGTCTGCAGAGTTATAGAGGTGACCACTATTCTCCATCAATGGCACCAATATATACTTTTTAAGTCGAACAGAAGAACAACAGAGAGCCAGCCATATTTCCTTAGCAAACCGCAGTAGTATCCAGAGAGAGGGAAAGATCCTCGCCACACGACGACGACGACCATAGAGAAATAGAATGATAATAATAATCATCATAATTATTATTATTATTATAGTGGTGGTGGTAGTAGAAAAGGGAAAAGAAACCAACAACAATCCTACCATTTTCAGCTGGATCTCCCTTCTTTGCGGTTGCTGCATTGCCCATGACCCTTGTTGGTATTCTAAAGCCAGTAATAGGTAAATAAAGTCCTGGTGGTCAAATGGAAGAGATGGTTAAGCAGTAATAATCCTAGAGAGAAGAAGGAGGAATAATGTGTGATGCGTGTGTACTGTATATGTCTGTCTGTCTGTCCCTCTCTTGCCGACTGAGTTCCCCCTCTGTCTCTTACTCCTTCCTCCTCCTTGTCTCTCTTTCGAGCAACCTTAACCTTTCTCTCTCTCTCTCTCGCAGCAGCAGCAGCGGTGGAAAGCTCGGGTGTCGTCCAACTACATCGCTAAACTCTTGCTATATTCATGCGACTAGCCCTACGACAACTAATTAAGACTTTTTGATTTCGACGCTTCAAACGGGTAGTTGATTGCTTGCGAAGGACTGAAACAAGGGTAATTCTTCTCAGTTGGTTTGAAACGTGAACGTTAATAAGGACAGAAAGGTCGCTACTAAGGAAATTAGCGACGAACTAGATGCGATGGCGGACGACTACAATTTCTGGTGCGGTTGCTTTTCAATGGCGGCCAGGGAAAACGAGCTAGAAAGGTTGCCGTCATCAACTGATATTATTATTGGATGGCAGAGGCGGTAGCAGCAGCAGCAGCAACTACTATTTACTGAAAAAGTAGCAGGGCTCCACTACTTTAACTGCTTTTCTCTCACATTGCCAATGAACGATAGCAGCAGCATCATTGCTACAACATGGATTATTCACCTAAATAATTAAATTATTATTATTTTTTATTTTTTTTAAAAAAAAAGGCGATTACAGTGACTATTTTACAGTGGTTAAAAAATAAAATAAATGAAGTTGACATTTTGTTAAGACAAAAATAAAATGAAAGTCTGTAGTCAGTGTAGTGTAACATGTCCACTGTTTTTCGCGGAAAAACAGCATAGCGTAAATGAAAAATGCCAAAACTTAAAGAAAATAAAGAATATCGTTAAAATGCTTATGTTATTATTTAGATGAAAGAAAAAAGTATTTTTTTAATTATTTTTTGAAATTTTTAATATTTTCTAACACGTTCGAAATTTTTGGTTAAAATCGTCTTTGTTTACGTCATCGCGGCGACGTTTAAAATAACATAGTTTTTTTTGCGTTTTTTACCGTTGAAAACATATTGATTTGGAAATTCTTGTAAAAATAAAATAATTGTCCAATTTAATGAAATTTTCAGGACTTATTCACAAATCAATGAAATTATTTTTGAAATATTATTTTTAGAAAATTTTGGTAAAAAATTATATTTTTTTAAATATATTTACCCAAAATTTAATGAAATTTCGCCCAAAACCTTTTGGTTCCTGAATTTTTTTTTTGTTAAAAGTAGGAGTCTTCGATGGTAAATAATCTATTTTCTTTCACAAATTTGAGCTTTTAAAAAATCTGCTCTGAATTGAAAAATAATGAATCCAATAAAACTATGATATTACTTAATTAGAAAAGCTTTTAATTGCTTTTGTAAATAAGTAATATTAAGTTATTGTCTGAAGAAATAATTTTTTCTGATGAATAATTAATTTTTACAAGAATTTTTTCGTTTTTAAAAATTTTAATTAAATAATTTATAATAGTTTTAAATCGTGTAAAGCTCTGTATTAGGAGGGTTCCTCGATATTATTACTAATTAAGTGAAAAAAAATTTACGAATCCAAAATTGCTAAGTTTAATAAATTTAGTTGCGCTACTTTTTTTTAAATAATTTTTATGTTGTATTTTTTTACTTAATACATTCCTTATTTCCATGTAATATACAGAAATTGCCATTATTATAACAAGGTCAAATCTAAGGTTTTGTCCTTTCAAAACATTTCGTTTATTAACAGATTGTATTTTCCGATCAAAAAGTGTAAACTTTAAATTTTAAATTATTTTTCTTTTTTTCATTAACTATTTCACTAAATAATTTTATTTTATGTATTGTATTTCCATTAGTGTGTGTCATACTCAAATAGAATAATTTTTTAAAAACTCAGACTTAAAAATTGTCATTTATGGTCATCAGTAGTAGCTGTCATCGGCTCGTCAATCAATCATTATCAGTAAGATCGAACAACTGAACATTACCGCTCGTTAATAATTGGTTGTATATTATTTTTTATGCTATAAGTAACAAAAGATTTCTTTTTTACTTTAAAATTTTAATTTTACTAAAATAACGTGTCAAATTTTTTTTAAATATTTTAAAAATCGATAAATTTGTGTTTGTTTACACATTTCTTAAAATTAAGAAAATGGCCGTTTTTAAGAAAATTTAAAATTTGAAATTAAATCTGACAATCAAACGTATATATTTAATTAATAAAATCGTAAATTTAATTTAAACTTTCGATTAAAACAAATGAAATCTTCAAGAATGTTTTTTTGTAAAAAATTCATTTTAAACTTCAATATAGAAAATTTATGCTTTGGACATACTTAGTGTAGTGTTTTCACTATTTTTTGGCCATGACGAATTGATGAATTAAAAATTCCAAATGAGATCAATATACTCAAAGATTCAAAGTCTTTGACACTGGAATTGATAAAACATTCTCTTAAAAAATTTTGGTAATAACATTTTTCTGGTCAGTTGTGCATGTTTTTAAGCGGAGAAATTAAAAAAAAAGATGGATTTCATTTATTTTTTAAAATTGCAATATAATAAAAAAAGTATATTAATAATTTAAAAATATTTTTAAAACAAGATAAATTCAATATTTAAGCATTCTCAACTTTAGTTTCTTTTTAAAAGATTTATAGAAAATTTGAAAACGTTAGGAACATAACTTAGAGATCATTCTAAAATGCCAATAATTTCAACTGAAGTGAAATATTCTGAAAGTTCAAAAGCTCATTTACACTTGATTACAAACAACGTGTTGAAAATTTCAGTTTTCTACTCACAAAGGTTAAAAACTCAAAGTGACATATAGTGTAAAAGTTTTGTAAATAAACAGAATAGAGTTTACTTGTTCATTTAAAGACAATTAGAGAATGGAAGGATGCGGAATGCTAATAATGTGTAACATCCTTGCTCTCCATCGTTCAATCACCTGGAGTGATTAGACAAGTAGCAGAAAGCTGGACGTAAAAAAAAAGGTTTGAATTATCTCCCTTAGAATCCAGCTGTTTCACTTGAAATGGAATTTTTTCGTTTTTTTATTTTTTTTTATTTTATTACTATTCTGCAGTAGTTCTACTAATGTTGAAATTGGTGATATCTGAGATCTAAAATGTTAACACGGAATTTTAGTGCCCAGAAAGACGCGTAGTGACAGCAGCAGTTATAACCTCTCAATAATTTAGGATTAGAAATTTCAAAGAGAAAAATATGATTTTTATGGTTTATTGAAAAGCTTCATTTGATGTGAGAAGCAATAACAATACACAATGTTTACAAAAGAAAAAACTACAAAAGTACTAGTATGATTTTTTTTTTTTTTGTGGCAACAAAAATTTCTGCAAGTATCATTGAAACAATGAAACTACAAGTCTATTTTGCACATGCATAACAAGACGCTTGATGTATTGTAAAAAAACAATATCAGGTTGGCAGAACTCAGGTGCAGCTTTTGATTCTAAAGAAGTCATAAATAAAATTAAAATTTAATTTCTTCCTGGTTACAAGTTAGTCTTGTAGACCAATTCATTGAACTGGCTTGTTTAAGTTGAAATAGGGATAATGATTTGGTGCAAAGGCAATGCATGAAAGTTGCAAAAAGTACATGTAATAACATTTTTAATAAAAATAAAACAAATAAAAAAAATAGCAACAAATTTTTTTGTGTAACATTGTAGATCAAGAATTATCAATTGGAAAGTTAAAATAGAATCATTATGACAGAGAAAAAAGCCAAGTAACTTTCAACATGATCCTCAACAATTAGACTCGTGATCAATTTCAGCTATAAATTGACAGTCACTATGCAATATTGATTCCTGTGTAATAACTTTCTCCCATAAATATATCTATACATATCTTTAATATTACTTTTGTTATTTTCTTATTCTTTTATTATAAGGTATCTTTAATTATTTATTTTAATTGATTTTATTTATCACTTTAGAGTTATATTGTAATTAATGATGATATTTTCATCTTTTCTTGAATTTCTTTTTTATATTTTCCCCTTACTATATCCTAATTTTTATAAATTTTAAATAGATTTCTATGTTTTTTCAAGGGTTTTTGCAGGTATGTATATGTATTGTGTGTGTATATAAATGTTTGTATAGATTTATAATTAATATATCCCTTTCTTTTTTTTCAATATCATATGGTAGTATTATATAAAGGGTTAATATATGTGATAATTAATAATTATAGTATAATTAGTATAATTTTATAACAATGTTACATAATAATATACTAGAATGTAACTTTTATGATGATTTGTTGTTATGTAATGATACATAGGTACCACCATGAGATCGCTAAAAAAAAAAAAAAAAAAAAAAAAAAAAAAAAAAAAAAAGCATAGCATGATTAAAAAGGCGCCAAATTTGACAAAAACAAAATTTTATTCTCTAAATGCTTATGTTATTATTAAGAGGAAAGATCAAAGTTTATTTTAATTATTTTTAAAATTTTTTCCTTCTTTTTAGAACATTCTAAATTTTGATTAAAAAAACCCTGTTTCTCTTTGTATCACTGGAACTAGTAAAATAGCATATACAATTTTTAGCACGATTTTTTGGATGACACATTAATTTGGAAAATCTTGCAAAAATAAAAATAACTGTCGGATGTTAATGAAACTTTCAGAAACTATTCACAGATGATGGAAATTATGTTTTTTTTTTTTATTAAAGTCATGGCAGAAATATTTTTTTTAAATTTATTACCCCCCCATAACTAATTTTATGAAAATGCTAGAAATTCGATCGTGTCAGGTTTAGTGTTTACAATAGTTAAATGCACAAGGCTTTGAGGAATGCAAATCATCTTTTTTTGTTTTTAATTGGACCCCCTTACCTGAAAATCAGCTCTGAATTGTAACATAAAAAA